CGCCCTCATCCAGGTCATTTATAAAAATGACAAACAGCAGTGGCCCCAAAACAGATCCTTGAGGTACACTACACACAACATATTCCATTGATTCTCACTGAAACCTATAGGATCGGATATCAGGTGGTGAGTAGGATAGGTGGGACAATGTGACACTTTCTAGCTTCACCTTCCCATTTGGCCATTGGAATGGTGCTCGGTAGAAGCAGGTACAAAGGGAGCAAATCCACTGATTCCGCAACCCCCCCAACCCACACATACACACGCACACACACACACACATACATACACACACACACACACACACACACACAGACACACACAGACACAGTAGTGTATAGAAAGTGCAAGGGGAATCTTAAGAAAACAGGTGGGAAAGCAAAGAGAGAGCATGAGAAACACCAGTGGGTAAGATTGGTGAGAATTCCAAGGTTTTCCACAGATATATCGGAGGAAGAGGATGCACAGGGAACGAATAGAGCCTTTTGGGGGCTAAGGGGACAATCTGTGTGTGGAGCCAGAGAACATGGTGAGGTGTTTACTGAGAATTCACATCTGTATTGCCAACCAGCCGTCTGGCCAGCTGAGCTAACCAACCCCAGGCAGCAAAAAGTACAAGTGGTATAGAGATAGCTTTCTTTGTCAGTGTAGACTCAATGGGCTGAAGGGTCTCTTCTGTACAGTATGATTCCTTGAAGTCTGTTGTCCCTGTGCTAGAAGCAAAGACAACATTACTGCTGATTTTGAAATGCAATCTGTCAAACACAATCTGCTCGATGCAGAACAGTATGAATCGAGACCTGGTCAAAGGTCACCCACCCATTCTCTCTTCCCTGGGCTCTGGTGGCTTTCCTTGGGGGAACTCAAAGAAAAAGCTTTATTTAAGATAGGAAAAATCGCTACATTTTTGCTGATTCCATCAAAGTTTCCAGTAGCCTCATTATTTGAAGTCAGTTTCATCCTGTCCAAGCGTTGAGAGTTATTTGTTCCATTCAAGTCTTTACTGCAGTTTAATCATTTTTAATATCCATTAAGGCTCTACAAATTCTAATCAAACTCATTCAGAAGGGTTCTGCAGAACGAGCTTTATTTACTTTCTGTCAATTAACTAGTAAGGTCATATGTTAGCAAGCAACATTTTGCAAGAATGAATTTAGGATCATAGTTTCTGCTAGTTAATAAATAAACCTTGATTAACCTTGAATAAACATGTTGGGGGATTTACTTCAAATCATCCTTTATTCCCAGGACAGAAATACGGGGAAAATGGCAGAGTACTTCTCTGGGTTTTACGCAGTTCTTTCATTAATTTTACATCCAAACTTAAAAATTAGAGGCTGGAGTAGGCATTTTAGGCCCTTAAACCACTCCACCATTTAATAAGATTATTGTTTGTGGCCTTATCTTTACTTTTTTCATATCCTTGATGCCCTTTGACTTCCTTCTCAGTCAACACTCTTAACAAACTCAGCCTTAAACATTTCAATGATCCTACCTCCACTGTTCCCTGGTGAAGAGAATTCCACAGGCTCCCTATTCTCTGAGAGGAAAGGATTCTTCTGGGCTCTGTCTAAAATGAGACCCCTCAATTATTAATGCCCCTTTTCCTAGCGTCTCCCTTAAGGCGAGACACCTCAGCAAGAGAATTCTCCATGGATTTCCACCCTAAATGTTGAAGCATTCTGCCTGAGAAATTGGAGGAAAATGGACACTGTGGATCTGGGGTAGTAGGTGATGTATGGGCACTCGTTCCATGCTGGGTATGGATCTGACAGAGTATTGGTTAGACTGCCTTGTGATTGCAAGGCAGCTCACTTTAGAACTGCTGTACTTCCCCATTAGTGGCATGGAAATCAGAGATCCTAATCCTGCTTCAGGCCTCTTCAGCAATTTAGCTCCAAATTTCCTGCAGCAAGGCCTATGTGTGCTGCTGTCAATCTTCTCAGTTGAAAAGGAGTCAAACCACTGGATGCTGTCAGGAAATGTATTTACTTAACTGGATGTAGAGCTGAGAGGAGCAAGAGTGCTTGGCTTGACTTTACATTAAAATTGTAGGTTGCTGCCATTAGTTAACACCTCCTGACCTTTAACTCTGTGTCTGACGCCGGTGTTCTGGTGGGACAGCTGTATCTTCTCTGCACCTGGCCCTTGCCTTTGACGTTACAGATGAAATATGATCCCACTTAGTGTTTGGCTGGCCACATCACAACTAAATCTGTCAACTGTTTAAGTCTTTAGTCAATTCCCATGAATTCTATGATAGACTGATCAAACCTTATGGCGATTACATTTTATAACAGTCAGGCAGAAGATATAGAAGTTTGAATACGCGTACAAACATAATCAAGAACAGCTTCTTCAACTCTGGTCTTGAATATTAATTCTGATTTCTCTCTCTCCCTCTCTCTCTGCGCACCTTCTCTATGGCTGTGACACTGTATTCTGCACTCTGGCCTGCCTGATGCACTTTATGTGGTTGACCAGCCTTTTCACTGTATTTTGGTACATGTGACAACAATAAATTCAACTCAAAAATCTGCTTTGTTTTTCCAGAGATTTAGGAGGGAACTCACTCAAATTAAGACTTGAATATTTTTAACCCAATCAGATTTCGTGTGGGATGTAACTTGAGTGCGAACTGTCCCTATTTCTGAAATAGAACCTGTGAAAGTTTTACATTAATACAGTACACTGAGCAGGATGTAAATGAGGTGATTGTAACTTTTTTTCTTCACCCGAAACAGAATTTGAAGAACAATTTTATATCAACTGCTTCACAGCAACACTCGTGATGAAGTTGGAAAAGTCTTGATAATTTTGACGTTGAATGGACGGGAAACACAATGATCTTTCTTCTGTTGACCTTTAGCAGAGTTAGAACTGATCTTCACTTCACAAATCGAGAGAAAACCAAGTGGTTGAATCATTTCAGAAATCAAGATGCTCTTTTAAAGCAGAATGAAAATGTCAAATGTATTTGAATATAAGGAATTATTCTGTCTTGCCATAGGTTCAAATGATTTTGAAATCGAACCCTGCTCCATTTCTATACTGAGCCATTTCTAGTCTCCATTGAGGAGTTGCTGATGAAAGACTCTTAAAAAGTGGTGGAGAGAGTTATCCTTGGCTAATCCTGGGTGTCACATGTCCATTGTGTTTACGTCTCTTTGATATCCAAGCATGTGCTGCAAAAAGTGTAGTTCAGTTGGTGGAGGCCATTAATAATATAAGCAGCACCACATTCAACCATTCTGTCTATTAATGAGGTTGTGACTGTTATCCAGCAAATTACATGACAGCATTTCTATAACGATGCCACATCAGCTCACTATGCCTCACTTATACAAAGGGATAAAGACAAGATGCTGTCAGCTGCTAATAGAGATGATGTAGTTATTAAATTGAAGAGAACTGTACTTTCCGTTCTTTAAATGATTAGGCTGCAATACAGATTCAGACTTTCCTGCTGATCAGTGCCCACATCAAGCCAAAGCTCAGCACCAGTCACCAGGCATATGTGCCCATCCATGATGATGGTGCTGCTTATCAAATGTTTTCTGATGCAAACAGTCCAAACGGTTTTATATGGGTTCCAACCCATGGTGGGGCTATGGCAGGAGGGTTTCAGTCCATGCCCTTTCCAATTGGGCCGTTAGGCAGCTGTCCCAAGCTTTAGATAACAAGGTATGGAACTGGAGGAACACAGCAGACCAGGTAGCATCAGAGGAGCAGGAAAGCTGATGTTTCGGATCGGGACCCTTCTTCAGAAAAGCTTTATCGCACCAGCTTAGAGAGCCTTGTGCAATGCAGTTGCTCAGGATTAAACCTGACAAAAGCCACTGCATCGCTTTCTGAAGGCACCTGCCAGAAGGAGGTGCGCAACAGTTTCTTCACAGCCGTCTCAGAGTTCTCAGATCTATCAGCTAACTTTCTGAAATCATTCATCGCTGTATATGCAGTACATATCCAACAGAGATGGGAGCTCATTTGGGAGTGAAAGGCCTTGGGTATCACCCAGCCTTGCTGATGGACGCCATTGATATGTTTCAGGTCAATCATGACCACGGAACCCTCCTGCTGATCACAGGATAGAATCATAGAATCCCTGCATTGCAGGGAGAGGCCGTTTGGCTCATCAAGTCTGCAGCGACCCCCCTAAGAGATTCCCACCTTATCCGTGTAACTCCACATTTACCATTGCTAATCCACCCAATCTACACATCCCTGCACACTACAGGACATGGCCAATCCACCGAACCCACACATAGACTGTGGGTGGAAACCAGTGCATGAGGCAGAAACCCACACAGGTTCAAGGAGAACACGCATACTGTCACCCACGCTGGGATCGAACTCGGGTCCCTGTGGCTGTGAGCCATCGTGCGGAAGCATTGCGTGTAGCAAGGGCATTGAATTCGAGTTTGGTGGAAAACGTATTTGTTCATTTGTAAGAGAGGATCAGTAGTCCCAGCACTGTCCAGATTCTGAAGAAGTTAACTGCCACTCTGAACTTGGAATAGAAAGTGAAAGAACAAATCAGGAGAGAGATCTCCTTCACACATCGTCACCAATCTTCCTGTCACAGAATCGTTGGTCAACACAGCATTTCTCGTTGTAACCACACAAACACCTCCTGGAGACCAAGTGCAGCTTTCAATCTGAGGAGGGTTTTCTTCATTTTCTGTGGTATCACCACTGATTGGAACAGATAAAGAACTGATCCATCAGCTTAAAAGTGGGTATCCATGAGGGACACTGGGCAATCATTTGTACGTTGGGGTTTTTCAAGTTTAATTAACACAATGAGTTTCTAAATTTCCAACTACTGGATTACAACTTTGGAACCATAATAAGTATACAAACGTATCCTTGCTAATCAATCAATTATTTGAACATGCTGAATTTGAACAATGGAATTTGTTTGACCTTTGAACAATTTTATTTAAGAATAAGCAAACACAAAATGCTATTAATGTTACCGATAAGCACATGAATGATTATCTTAATAGTTATTTGCAATTGTTTCTCTTTTTCCTTGATTATAAATCTGTAATAAGTTGCTTAACAGTAACTCATTAATGTCCTTCAGGCTTTGTACCATCAGTTCAAAGCAAGTTTGATGATGGATTCACTGGGTTTGTAATACAACTACAATTTTTCAAGTTTTATTTAAAATGGATTTACTTACTGGACTGTAATAGAGGATTGTTTTTCCCTCTCACCTCACTTCCATCTAATTTACTCTCTCAACATTCAAATGGAACGAGCGATCGCTGTTTAAAAATGCAGGGTTGCCCATTTAAGACAGAGATAGGAAGATATTTTTCCTAACAGTCTGTCGAGAGTCTTTGAAGCTGTCTTCCTCAAAAAGTGGTGGAAACAGAATCTATGAACATTTTTGAAGAAAACGTAGATGGATTCTCGATAGGAAAAAGAGGATGAAAGTTTACCAGGGGTGTGCAGAATATGAAGCCAAGTTAAAATCAGATCAGCCAGAAACTTATTAACTGGCAGAGCAGAGTTGAAGGGCAGAGTGGCTTATTCCAGCACTCAACTTATACATTCATATGTCCAAATTGACAAATGCCCAGATTTTTAGAGACCAAGAATGAAATTTAATTGAGCTCCAGAATGTATTAAATGTTAAAGATTTAAATGTTTTGGGATTACATTTCAAATCAAAATAACAATAAAAAATGTTAAGAATTTCTGTGTAACTTTTTATAATGAACAGATTCTGAACGTACTGAATGTGTCAGAAATGCACAAATAAGGAGTTTTTTAATTGCCTTTCTCACTGCATTATATAATATGGTCAGCTATTCCTATGTAAATGAACCAAAGTGTTTTATCATAAGGAAGAGAATCAAGATGCAGAACTGCAGGGAAGAAACAGATCATTCACAATCTGATTGAAATGTGGAATAGATTTGAGAGGGCAAATAGCTAGTCCTGCTCCTATGCTCTATTACCACTACAACATTACAACTTGGTATAAAACTTTTGTTTTACAAAACAAAGAACGGCAAACATCAGCGCGGGAGAGTTCGAAAGCAAAATTTGACACAGTAAGAGAAGGAGACATAAAGTCCGATGATCAGACATTCGGTCAGATTTTCAGGACCATTTGTAGCAATGGAGACAAATCAAAACGCATAGACAAATGGGGACAAAATTAGAAGAGTTCGACATTTGCCAGGTGAAACATTGGCAAAACACGATACAGGAATTAAATTTGTAGGCAAACTGAGTGCAGATATCTCAGACAATAAGATGGAATTCCTGCCGGTGTGAAACCTCACAGACAGCTCAATGGTGAATTTATAATCTTTGAAGGAAAAAAACAGGTCACATATCGTCAAGATGCCAAACGTATCAGCTGCACTCAATGCAGGCAAGAATGACGCGCATCCTTTTACAGAAAAGAGGCCGGGGTTTTCCCAGCAACACTCTCACGAAAAGGGCCTGTACTGCGCTGTAATATTCTATGTTCTATGTTCTATGTTCTAGTGTGATGCTCACCACTACCAGCTGGCAGGTTGCAGTCGTTTGCTGCCACCATCTATTTTCTTGACTGGGTCTAAGGGTGTAATTAATTTACAACGGTACAGGAAACCCACTCCTGAGTCTGAACAAGACCAGGTTCTTGTTTTAAACATGATGTAGTTAACTGCATTATTTAGTGACGCATGGGACATGATATCGCTGACTGGACAAACATATATTGCCCATCCCTAGTTGTCCGTGAGATGGTGGTGAGCTGCCGCAGTCCGTGTGCTGCAGGTAGATCCACTTTGCTGATGGGAGGGAATTTCAGGATAGTGATCAAGCAACAGTGAAGGAGAAGTGATATATTTTCCAGCCACGATGGTGAGTGGCTTGGGCGGGGGGGTGGAATCTGCAAGTGGTGGTGTTCCCATATATCTGTTGCCCTTATCGTTCTGGATGGAAGTGGTTATGTGTTTGGAAGGTGCTGCTGAAGGATATTTGGTGAACTTACGTAATACGTCTTGCGCATGGTACACGCTGCTGCTACTGAGTGTCGGCGGTGGAGGCAGTGAATGTTTGTGGATGTGGTACCAATCAAGTGGATGACTTTGTCTTGGATGGTGTCAAGCTTTTTGAGTGTTTTTGGGGCTGCACTCATCCAGGCAAGTGGGGAGTATTCCATCACACTCATGACTTATGGCTTGTAGACGGTAGACAGGCTTTGAGGAGTCAGGAGGTGAGTTACGCGCTGCAGCATTCCTACTGTCTGACCTCCTGTTAGCCACTTTATATATGTTGTTAGTCCTTTTGAGTTTCTGGTCAAACGTAACCCCTAAGATGTTGATAATGGGGGGAATTCGCTGATGGCAGCACCATTGAATGTCAAGGAGCAGTGGTCAGATTGTCTCTTATTGGAGACGGTCATTGTCTGGCATTTATAAGGTGCAAATATTACAAACCACTTTCCAGCCCAAACCTGGATATTATCCAGGTCTTGCTGCATGGCAGCAACTAAATACAAGTTACATTAGTAAGTTAGACATTCTTTTTGAGGCTATGTGGAGTCCTGGCACAACAGGCCTGTCCCTTTCAAGCTCCAAAGATGTTCTGCCATTTTCCTACCCAAGTCCATATGACATTATCAAATTGGGTTTGTGCTTAATGCTGTCTCCAACATTAACCCTTTCAGAACCTTCATACAACTCAACAGAGTGAAATGACAGACAGATGACACAATCATACTCAATTTGCTACTGTCTATGATCGTTTTCTTCACCTCTCCGCTATAAGCTCACTGCACTCTTCAAATTCCACAGCACAGAATCTCGGTGCTGTTGTCCATATAGCACAGCAAATATATTTTTTTGCAGACTTCTTAATTTTTGATTTTCTCTTTCCATTACCAACCATAACAAAAATAAAATTACTTCTCATCTTATTACACATGTGCTTTGGCAATTAGTTGATGAGAAAACAGTCTTGAAATACTAAAAATATCTCAGATACATCTTTTCAAGATCCATTTGCTTCGAAAATAAATAAAATGCTATTAAAGATTTACCTCAGTCCTTTTTTGATTTGATTTCGTTTAAATAGGATTCATCACAGATTAGTTCAATAAAACTGCAACTAACATAGGACCTGGTTTTTGTGACATAATATTCGATACGAGTGTGACAAAGATCTTGTCCTGTCTATTTTTGTCATTTATCCTTTTATGGGATTTGTTGCCCATCCCTAAATGCCATTGAATCAGCTCAGCCAATTCAGAGGGTAGTTAAGAGTCTACCGCAATGCTGTCGATTTAGAGACACGTGTAGGTTCGACAAGAGCAGCAGATGTTCTTCCTGAAAGGACATGGGTGAACCAGATGGGGTTTGATGACAATTGGTGATAGTCTTGCGGCTACCGTCACTCAGACTTGCAGTTTCCAGAATTGTTCATTGAATTCAAGTTCCATGAGTTGCTCTGGTGGGGTTTGGATCCATGTTCATTGATAATAGAGAGCAAGGAAATGGCAGAGCAATTAAGTAATGACTTTAGCTCTGTCTTCACTGAAAGGCTATAAAAGAAAGTCAGTGCAGAGAGCACGGGCCAAGTGGCTTCCTTCAGCACTTCGGCAATTCTGTTATACTCGAGATGCAAAAAGGCAGTGGCCGTTTGTGTGTGAGTGGGGCTGGCTGAGTATGTTATTGTCTGCTTCGTGTGTCTGTTTACTGAAGATGCACTCAAAGACAGGCATCAACTTAATGACTCTCTTTGGTCTTCCTGAAACTTATTGACCTTCCAGTGCAAAGAGGTGTCAAGGCTGAGTGTTGTAGATTGGCATACTCCAAGATACAGCACTGAACGTTGAAGGACACACTATGGCTTGTAGAAGCCACCGCAAAGGCTCAAGGAAAAAGGGCCACTGTCTAAGATCCAATTGCTACAGTATGGTGGTGGCGGGTGGGGGGCCTGGAAACTGTAAAATCTCTTGGTTATATCTTTGAGACAGAGTGTTTATTCTACATATTGTACCATGGTTGATTGAAACTTTATTGTGGTCCGTTCAGGGCCATAGTGATGTAGGAAAAGAACTTGAACTGTATATCACTCAGTAATTTCTGATTTTTGTACTGTTTTGGGAAGAACTGTCTCAGAAAATGCAGTAACAAGACAAGGGAGCACTCAGAATACGCAGTGGGTCATTTCAGCCAGAGGTGAGGAAAAGGTTCTTCGGGGTGGTGAACCTGAATAGATTGATTTCCAGGGGTTTCAAAGGGGTATGAGGAGAGAGCCAGAGTCTGGCGTCGAGATACAGGTTCAGCCATGGCCATGTTAAATGGCAGAGAAGGCTCAATATGTCAAAAGGCCTACTGATGGTCCAATTTTCTGTTTTATGTTTCATCTGTCCTAATATCACATGTTATATGTGGCTCTATACTGCACTTCGGTACATTTGATGACATTCAGAACTTTCGTCATTGTGGTTATTTTACGTCCACTATTTTTCTGAAGCAAAGGACATTTTCCAAAGATACATTCATATATATCATACCCCATAATGTGATTTCGAAGTCATATTCTGTATGTTTCAACCTTTAGAGCTTCCAGGGGCTGCTGAGATAGTAGAGGATGTTTCTGCTGCAGAAGCTGAACCAATAAGGATTCAACCACTTCAGGAAACACAGGAATAAAAAGTGGAAGAGGGGTCTTGCTATTCCTAGCCTTGCAACGGGACTTGTCGCACTTGGCTTTTTAAGACCTCTTGTGCTCTAACACTGACACAATGTCTTGTGGGTGAGTGAAATATCATTGGATTCCTACGTCACCCATTGCACCAATCCTGGTCACTGGCTGAAGGGCCCACACACACAAAACAAACAATTGCAACATAGGAATGTATTGGCAAATCCAGTACTTCCACTGTAACTTTGCTACCAAGGCATGCTGCTAAAATCCAAAACAAAAATACCCCATAAGATTCAGCCAATAACCTCCAATACCTTTGCCTAACTAAAGCTGAGCAATGCCAGTTTTGAAATGGCCTCAACAGTAGGGTGGTGATTTCCACAACCCCGTCTGTAAAGTGTGTTGTAATACACCATAGAGCTGAGATCCAATTTAAGATTATTCCACTCTGTTCAGGAGATTTGCACCAGAAGAAATAGTGTCTCTGAATCTTATCAACTGCTTTAATCATCATAACTGCATCAGTTAGATTATCTCTTAATCATCTGTGTTCAGGGGATCTAAACCTAGTCTCTGCAATGTGTCCTTGTAATTGAACTATGTTTCAGTGTTTATTCTTAATGTTTTAAGGTAACTTGCTGATGAGCGATGAGAGTGTAAGTACACTTCTCACATTGATTGTATTGAGGCAACCTGATCCTCTTACTTTTCACTTCAAGTTCCACTTTCAGGAACACAACTTCAATTTTAAGTCAGGAATTGCTTGTGCTCCAAATGGAACCTACCAGCCCCGGACAGCTAGAATGTAACTACTACATCGTTGGTTTTTTTGTTGTTAGTGAACTAGACCAGCATTTATTGCCTATCCCTAAACATCTAGAGTGGGTATAGTGAGCTGCCTTCTTGAACTGCTGCAGTCCTTGGAGAGTAGGACATTCTAAGATTTTTGACCCAACGACACGAAAGGTACATATTTCCAAGTCAGATTGGTGAGTGGCTTGGACAGGAACTTGGAGGGGATGTTCCCTTGTATCTGCTACACTTCTTCTTTAAGATGGAAGTGGCCATGGGTTTGGAAAGTGCTGCCTGAGGAGGCTTGGTCAGTTATTGCAATGCATCACATTGATGGTAGACACTGCTGCCACTGAGCATCGGTGGTAGATATATAGGTGTTGAAGATAGTGGATGGAATGCCAATAAATTGGGCTGCTTTAATCCAGACGGTATTGAGCATCTTGGCCATTGTTAGAGCTGCACCTATCCAGACAAGTCGGGGGTTGAGGGGCAGGTGGTTGGGGAGGAGTAGAGAGCAAGAGAGAATGGAGAGAGGGGTGGTGGTGTATTCCTAATGGAGTGTGTAGACATTGAACAGGCTCTGGGGAGTTAGGTGCTGAGTTATACACTGCAGGATTCCTAGTCTCCAACCTGGTTTTTTTGGTCACAATATTTAAATGACTAGTCTAATTCAGTTTCTGGTTAATGGTAATCCCAGGATGTTGATAGTGGGGAATATGGAATTGTAATACCATTTAATGTCAGGGAGACATAGTTAGATTCTTTAGTTAGTTGGAGATTGTCATTGCTTGGCATTTTTATAGTATGAATGTTACTTGCCACTTGTTAGCCCAAACTGGGATGTTGTCCAAGTCTTGCTGCATTTGGACATGGACGGTGTCAGTGTCTGAGTCAACCATGTTACTGGGTGTGGAGTCACTTGTATGGCAGACAAAATGGGGTTGGATTTTTCCATCCCTGAAAGGCATTAGTGAACCAGCTGGGATTTTATAACAATTGACCGTGGTTGCTATGGAGCCATTTGGTTAGCATTTATTGACTTACGTACATGGACCCTTCACAATCCCATTGCTCACTCACAGCTATTCGTTTCTCACCAGTGATTGAGACTGTTGCCAATAACAACAAGGGAACTGAGTAACAGGTACATCCGAAAGCTCAGACCCATATGCCATGGTTGGGATTCAAGTACTCTGTTGTGTATCTCTTGCGATCTCTATCTTTTTGGAATTAAATTGCCTTCGGACCCAAATAAAATATTTGTAAATTGCTGTCCTACCTCAGGTTGTGCGTGATGCAAGATATCGTCAGATTTAAGAAAGAAGGGATATGCAGATTTTGCTGTGTCTGTTTAAAGGAAAAAAGATTGTGAATCAGAATTCAACTCTACTATAAGCCTGTTCTTAAATTTAAAAAGACTTCTTAAGAGTGGTCTGTAAGAAATATCACTTACACAGCACAGCTGCAAACACCAGCATAGGTGTAAGGAAAGCAGCAACCACTCCTGCAAGAAACCAACTGTTCAACAATGAGCATGTCATACCGAAGGTCAACGAGCAAGTCACAAAACTCAAGGTCAAAATTCACCTTCAAAGATCTCAGAATTACCATACCTTGCAAACACAGCGACACATGTTGAAAGGACCGAGATGATCAGATGGAAAAAGAAACTCTTGACAGTCATTAAATCTGAAATTGAACCAGTAAAACGCTTTTACTGACACAGCCATGATGTAGCGGTGCTAGTTTTAGATTGGGGTGGACAAAGTCAGTCATCACACGACACTCGGTTAGAGTCCAACAGGTTTATTTGAAAAACACAAGCTTTCGGAGTCTTGCTCCTTCTTCAGGCGTTAGTGAGAGGGGTAGTATCAAACACAGAATTTATAAGAAAAAGATCAAATGGTCACACGACTGATGAGGATGTACTAAACAAACCACAGACTACTCTTTACAATCAGTCTCATTCTTGGGCACACGCATCTCCATCAGGGACTGACACCTTAATACCTCACTCTACTGCAGACCCAGGGATAGCCTCACAATGCTGCATTTCTCTAGATTCCACCCTAAACATATTAAAACAGCCATTCCCTACAGACAAACTCTTTGCATGCACAGGATCTGTTCGGATGCGGAGGAACCAGACAGACAACCAAAGGCGCTGAAGGACACCCTCATAGGAAAAGGATACGATGCTCAACTCATCAATCGCCAGTTCCAACATGCTACAGCGAAAAACCGTAATGACCTCCTCGGAAGACTGACACGGGATACAACCGATAGGGTGCCCTTTGTCATCCAGTACTTCCCAGGAGTGGGGAAACTACACCATGCTCTTCACAGCCTTCAACACATTATTGATGATGATGAGCACCTCGCCAACATCTTCCCCACATCTTCACTTCTCGCCTTCAAACAACCACCAAACCTTGATCGCAGCAAACTACCCAGCCTTCAAGACAACCCCGACCACAACACTATACAACCCACTCATGGTAACCTCTGCAAGACATCTCAGATCATCGACATGGACCCTACCATCACACATGGAGATACTCATGTGACTCGGCCAATGTTGTCTATCTCACATGCTGCAGGCAAGGATGCCCCAAGGCATGGTACATTGGCGAAACCATGCAGATGCTACAGCAACAGATGAATGGACACTACGCACCAATCACCAGACAGGAATGTTCCCTCCCAGTGGGGGAAACACTTCAACGGTCAAGGACATTCAGTCTTAGATCTTCAGGTAAACGACCTCCAATGTGGACTTTGGGATACACAACAACGCAGAGTCGCTGGAGCAGAGCTGATAGCCAAGTTCAGTTCCCATGAGGATGGCTTCAACCCGGATCCTGGGTTCATGTCGCACTACAGGTGACCCCACCATACTCTTTCACACACACACACACACACACACTCTCTCTCTATCTGTCACACACACACACACTCCTCCTTCACCCTCTCACATGCGCACGCGCACACACACACACAATCTCTCTGTATCTGTCACACACACACACACACACTCCCCCCTCACCCTCTCACATGCACACGCGTGCGCACACACACACACACACAATCTCTCTCTATCTGTCACACACACACAGACACACACACTCCTCCCTCACCATCTCACATGCGCACATACACACACACACATACATGGATCTATGGGGTAAATTTGTATTTGTAGATATTTTGTTCAAAAAGCACACAGTCAGTCAATATGGCGTTTTATAAATTCCTACTTTAGAAATAAAACCAGTCTGACTCCAAACCAAGGCACAAACAGATTCTAAACAAGGTCTCACGCCTAATATGCATCGTCTGACCTAAAATGTCACCTCTTCTTTACACTGTTAAAACTTTTAGTTCTCTCAGGGCAGTGACTTGAAAGGAATTCGGGAATTTACATATACATTTTAATCAATTAAAACCTTCTCACTGATTAAAGATTTAACAGCATCTTAGGTTTGTTTAGTAAATCCTCATCAATGATGTGAACTTTTGATCTTTTATTTATAATGTATCTGATACGACCTCTCTCGCTGACACCTGAAGAAGGACTGAGGCTCTGAAAGATTTTGTTTTCAAATAAACCTGTTGAACTATAACCTGGTGTCATGTGATTTCTGACTTGATACAGGCAGTAAAGGAGGTTTCAATTACAAAGAAATGCTCATCTAAATGTAACATGAAAAGTTATTCAACATAGCCATTAAAAATGGACATCAGACTGTACTTCACAAAGTTTGTAAACTTGAACTGGGAGAGGTAGCTTTGTATCTCAAATTCCTTATCCACAAGGTTCTTGATTTTTTTTCATATTATCAAGCACCAAGTGTGCGATTTGGGCAGATGAAAAGGCAAAATCACAAACACACAATGCTTTTCTCATTTTTGTAACCTCCAGCATCCTCCCATTATCTTTACAAAGGAAATCTCATTGTTGTGTGAGTAACAGTGTAAACTATATCTCAGACCATGAACACGTGTGTCATTTTTCATTCACACAGAACAGAAAGGAAGCATTCCCATTAGTGTTGAAAATAACCTCTCCAACCTTGGTGGTTGTCAGGAGAAGCATTCCCCAAATTCTGGCAAGAATAAAAGATGACTGGAGAATTTTATTGCTAATCACTCCCAGAGATCACTTTGAAAGAAGGAACTGAATTTTGCCTTTCGATTTTTATATTATGTAACTATGTTCCACTCACTGATTTTTGCTGGAGAAATACCGTTGCTACTCACATTGGGATTATTAAATATAGTTTGAGTAAATTACAAGTCATACTGCACCCCCAACTCATTGATTAGCACAGTTGATAGTCACTCCCTTTAAAACTGTGCCCTTCTTGTGAACAAGTCAGAGTGGATGGTACATAAAGGTCCCTCAAAAGGAATGTGGTAGGAAGGTGTCAAGCCCCCTGAAATGAAAGATTAACCTTCAGGTTACTGCTACAACCCAAGAGGAGTGAATACAAATAAAAAATCTCAGGGGCATGAAGCCATCAGAAAATAGAAAGATAGTAATTTTCCTGATTGGATTACAAGGAGTCTGCTCTCCCTTTGGCTGGCATGGAACTGTGGTTCGTTGTGAAGATGCCAACTATCAGATGACAGATGGTGGCAGCAGGAAGGTTGGAGATAAGTGGAAAAATGATAAAACCTGCAGGAATCTATTATGATTCTGTGAAGTGTCGTAGTTCGAGAAATCGCACCGCTAATGTTTGTTCCCAGTCTCTATCTAGTTGCTACTATTTTGTTGGGGGCCTGAGGAGAGGTGATAAAATGCTTGCTCATTTCGGACAAGTTTCTATACACCACAGTCAATGGTTGCATATTGGCATCTGAAAATTGCATCAGGATCTTATGTGTGCATTGCGCACACTCCCTTCATTGACCTTTGACATAGAGTAACCCAACCCTCGCAAAAGAAGCTGCGCCAGCCATTTTTGTTCTCTTCGACAATCTCTCACTTGCATCGCACATCCACAGAGAATGAAATGATCAGCAAATTGGGTCAGGACTGACTAGTAAAATAGTTCGGTCCTCTCGCTGAGGACATCACAGTGGCTCCACACTCCAACCTTCCACCAGCAATAGTTCAAATTAATTCCACATTTCTTTAAGAAACACAGGGAGTGCTGGAGAAACTCAACAGGTTTAGCAGCATCTGTGGAGAGAGAAACAGAGTTAACGTTTGAGTCCGGTATGACTTTCCTTCAGAAATGAAGCTCTGAAGAGTCATACTGGAATTACACATTGTGCAGTATTCTTAACATATACAGGTGTGGAAATGTTGTCTCACCTGGACCACCCAACATGTTATTGAGGAAGCACTTTGTAGGATGTAATGGTGAATGAGAAGGAAGTTTGAAATGGCCTGCTGTTGATTTGTTTGTCAATAAGCTTTCTTTGGTGTAGGATTCGGTGTCAATTACAGGCAGATTCTCTTCCGATAACCAGGATTTACCATTGGAGGATGCATCAACACTGCTCCTTCCTGAAACAACACAGAACATTCTCGCATTTTAATCACAAGCCCAGCTTCTTTGAGGTTCTAATATTCTAGTTTCCTTTTGCAGAAAGATTTACTCCAGCGGAAGCAATGAAAAGGAAGAAAAAATGTTGCAAAGGGAAGAAATCAAAAACCTGAACAGAAAATGTCAAAAGTGAAAGGTAAAGGCACCATAGTCTTCCCAGGCCTTGGGGTTGCTCTCCCTCTTTAGAGAAAGAGACAGAAATGACTGGTGGTTGTTTAGCCTGAGGGGCACCACACTGCAGGTGAGGGGAGAGGTTGACACAGAGAATCCTTCACAGTAACAAATAGGACAGTGCCCAAAGGAGAAAAGACTCTCATGTTATTTCAGTTGAGACTCTGAAAAGATTTTTGACGGCATGTTCCGAAGAAATGTTGCTGCCTGAAGCATTAATCTCTTTTCCTCTTTCAGACACTGAGGTAAGAATTTGTTTCAGCCCATTTTCAGAGCTGAGATAGATTATGCAGGGGGAATACAAGCCAGAAAGCAGAGCTTTGAGGCGCATTTGAAACAGGCCTCACTGAAACGTTAGTGGTGAGCTGCAGATAGAAACTGGCCATCCAAGGACAAAAATGAGGCCACGTCCTCTCCAACTGTGGTTTTCAAAACGGAGCTCCAAGGTTTCATAAACCATGGATCAGAATGCTAAAATATAGTGGACATTTATTAAAATGTTAATTCCAAAAAATGTTGTTTTTTAAAAATGGAAATAAGTTTGCAGATGGAAATTCAGTGCTCTCTGTCAAAGTCCTGTGTGGTGCCCATGGAATGTTGCACGTGTGGAATGTCAGGGAACTTCAAATAGAGAGACAGACACAGCATGAAAAGACAATAAGGGGCTTGACAATGTCCTCTCACGTCTCAGTTGAAAGGTTGAAAGTGCCCCTTCTCAGACAGTTGTGATTTGTCCTTCTCGGAATACACAAGAAAGGTTTAAAAACTGACATATCTTGTCTGCGTGTGCTACTTGAAGAAGATTTGCCAGTGAACTAGAGTATCCATACGTAACAGTTTGAGTGTGAGCACTGTTGCTCTGTGAAGGTTACATTCAAGAAACCACCCACTTCTCACTCCTGTATTGCAGGTAAAAGGATTGTCTCTCTCACTGAATGCTAGGAGTCAACCACAGTCAAGATAACAGGACAAAAGGATTTCAACTAACTTTAAAAGCCAAGAATCCCTAAATCAACTGTTTAACTATCAACATTACACTAGCCACTCTTCATAAACAACCTAGAGAGACTGATCCATATACCCATCGGGCGGCACGGTGGCTCAGTGGTCAGCGCTACTACCTCACAGCACCAAGGACCCAGGTTTGGCTCCAGCCTCGGGAACGTGTCTGTGCGGAGTTTGCATGCCCTCCCTGTGTCCATGTGGGTTTCCTCTGGTTTCCTCCTGCAGTCCAAAGATGCGCAGGTTAGTTGGATTGGCCATGCTAAATTGTCCATAGTGTCTGGGGATTTATAGGTTAGATGGATTCGATTAGCCATGGGAAATGTGGGATTACAGGGATACAGCAGGTGGGTGAGTCTGGATGCTCTTCAGAGAGTCAGTGTGGATGTGTTGGGCCAGATGGTCTGTTTCTACACTGTAGGGATTCTTTGATTTTTATTGTTTTTTGGACTCACTTCTCATTCATAATCTATGCGCATGTGAGTTGCATTGTGAATGCTTCTTGCACTTAACGCCTGGGGGGGGAAAAACACTCTTTTGTTAGCCCAAGAGAGCTTGGTCAGATTGCCCTTTTTTTAAAAAAATGGATTCATTTGGTCTGGGAGTAAGGCATGCACAAATTAACACTGCTGCAGCCAAACGAAGGGGCAAATGAATAAAGAAGGGGAACCAGTCCATCCTTCCTCACTGGGAGATTAACAATTGAAGCAATCCTATCTGGAACCATAATACCTTGGGGAGCCTCATCCCACATCCGGCAGTAACAAAGGGGAGTCATCATTAGAACTCAGGAATTAGGAGCAGGAGTAAGCAATTTAGCCCTTCAAACCCACTCTGCCATTTAACATGATCTTAGCTGATCTTATGCTGGTCTCAACTTTCAACTCTCAGCACCAATTTCCTGCCTGCTCCCCACAGACTTTTGTCCCACTTTCCATCAGAAACATATCAGCTTCTTTCTTGAATCTGTTGATTGATTCTGCCTCCGCTGCACTCTGGGGCAGTGAGTTCCGCAGATTCACAACCCTCAGAGGGCAATAGTTTCACCTCAGCTCAGTCTTGAACCTACCTCCTCTCACTGTGACCTCTTGTCTAAGATTGCCCCACTCGGGAGAGCATCTGTTCAAGGTCCACCTTATCAGTCCCCTTGAGCATTTTATGCCTTAATCAGATCCCCCTCCCCTGCTATTCTTCTGAACCCCAAGCCAGTACAAGTCCAAGTTATTCAACCGCTTCTTGTAAAACAGCCTTTCCACTCCTGGAATCGATCTGGTGAATCTTCTCCAAACTGTCTCCAGTACCACCACATTCTTCCTCAAGTAAGGAGACCAAATCGGGCACATCAACACCTTATATAACTGTAACAACACTTCTTTGCTTTTATAATCCAGTCCTTTTGCAGTAAATGCCAGGATTCCATTTGCCCTTCTTGTTACATGCTGCACCTTCTCTTGGTTATTTTTCCTCGCTTTTATTTTACATACTTCTTGCTGAAGAGCTCGGTTGTGGCGATGGCTTCGGCGGCAGCAAGCGAGCCTGGCGCAGACTCGTGACAGACGAGGTGAGTTTGCGTTCCTGGCAGAATATTTCTCAAAAGAAAATAACAAAGGGGCCCTTTGCTACACATTTGCAACTACTTCAACAACGCACCTTGATCGTTCCTGAAATTGGAGTCAAAATCATTTCCTCCATCAATCCAAGAGGATTCTGCAAGAGGACAGTCAATTCCACTGAAAAGACTGTTGTTCAACCAGGAACTGGAGGAGTCTATTGAAAATAGACTCGCCAAGGATCTACGAACTTTCTTCTTCCGGCGGAAGATTCTGCAGAGTTAAAAGAGTTTCTTTTAGGAAATAACATTTGATAGATATTATATTGCATGCTATTTATGAATTAAAATTTGCAATCTATTGGTTCCTGTGCCACATGTCATGGATAAGACTGGAAAATAGCTTCTGTAACAATGTCATCTTGCATCATTTAATATTTTCTGCCCCTTTTTCAATAATTTGCATTTTGTTCATCAGTGAGGGAAATAAATGCTGGAGAATAAAGTTACTCCCATTTCATCCACCTAGTGTCAGTGTAAAGCAATTGCAGTTAAACAGGACAAAACTCATCTGCCTTGTCACAACATGCTTAAACCCAAACCTAATCCCAAAGTCAAACCTAACTCTAAACTAAAATGTAATCTCTAACTCAATGTACCTCCTACATTTCCCTCAGCAGCTACTCTGTAGCTGCATTTTGAGCACAATTAGATACAATCTGTAAACATGAGCAAAGCCCAAACCTATTTCACTCAGGACCCCTGCAGCAAGCAGTCTGAGAATTTTTTCATTTTTTTAAACAGGATTTGAATGGGAGTTCACTGTCTGTATCTCACCCCTCTCTGCATGTAAATCTCACACAGTGTCCTCAATAATTCAGAATACTTTCCTGTACATCTCACACTGTATTTACTTATTCCTCATTTATTGGATGTAGGTGTTAGTGGTTGGGCCAGCATTTATTCCCGATCCTTAATTGCCCAGAGGGTGGTTAGGAGTTTACCACATTGCTGTGAGTCTGTAGTCATGTGTAGGCCAGACCAGCAGTTTCCTTCCCTAAAAGGAACTAGATGGGTTTTACCCTGACAATCAACAATGATTTCATTTTCATCATTAGGCTTAATTCCAGATTTTTATTGAATTCAAATTTCACCATCTACCATGACTGGATTTGAACCCAAGTTCCCAGAACATGGCCTGGATTTCAGGATTTATACGGATAATACTGCTAGGTCATCACTTCCTCTAGACTAGGCACCTATTCCACCAACCTCTTCTTTTCTGACATTTCTCCTGACTCCTCCCTTGCCTAAACAAGGCAGCTGCTAAACGCCAGAGCTCCTCCAGGTGGGCAGCCCACTTTGAAAGCTGGCGTAGGTGTAGGGGATGCTGTTGTCAGGGTGGATATCTGGCAATGTTGCTCCAGGAACATCGTGTGGAAAGCTGGAGTGGAAATTGGAACCATGTGGACTGCACTGACTGGAGGAGAAGATCCACAATCACCACTTTCTCAGGAGCAACGAGGGAGGGACAATAAAAATCAAGTTGACTTGATTTCTTGTAACTGGTTACATTTAACCTTTAATCCCAAAGCCTAAACATCTATCAATTCTACTTGAAATTCTTGATTGGTGTTTCTCTGTAAGCATGAGTTTTGAAATCATCACGAATGACCATCACAGAAGCCAACCTTCCATCCATGGTCTCTATTTCCACGGCTTGCTGCCGCAGAAAGGTGGCCAACATCATCAAAGACCCATTGCACCCTCGTAATAACCTCCTACAATCTCTTCCGTCAGGCAGAAGATACAGAAGCCTGACCACAAGCACCAGCAGGTTCAGGAACAGCTTCTTTCCAGCCATTATCACACTGTTGAATGGACTCCAGCCGCAAATAATGTAACCTGCAATGTAACCTGTATGCCTCTAAGTCTTTTTGATCCATACATCCTTTGCTTGCTGTGATCTACCTGTACTGCTCGTAAACAAAGCTTTTCACTATATTTCAGTACACGTGACAATAAATCAATCAATTGAATGTTCTCTGATTTAGGTGACAAATTGCGAGAACCTTATGTCTCTCAGTGCCAACACACTGGAAGATGCCAGAATGATGGCATTAGCTCCCTGACAGTTGGGTGCCAGAATCCATGGTGGGACAGTAAGTATGGCTGGTCCTGGTGGATCATGCCTTGCTCTACAGACCTCCTGTGGGCAAGATGGAGATCATTCAGATTGGGCAGGGAGTTGAAGTGCCAAAAACTGCACTGGTTTTCATGTCAAGTTTTCCTGACAGCTAGTTTTTCAGTAAGATTGCACCTGGGCTATTCATGTGGCGAGCTGTGCTTTAACAAGGCATTTGATAAGTTATAATGTGTCGTAGTCAAAGAGTCACTTGGTCATTCAGCATGGAAACAGACCCTTCGGTCCAACCATTGTCAAAATCTCCCCATCCCAGCCTTATCCCATGACCAACCCTCCCTTTCATCCCCGCCTCCTTGACCTGACACAACCTGTCCATCTTCTCTCCCACCTATCCGCTCCTCCCACCTCACTGACCAATCCCCACCACTGCCTACATGCACTTACCTATCACCATCCCACCTGCCTTCCCTAGCTCCACCCTCTTCTCTCTATTTATTTCAGACCTCCCTTCCCCCTCCCCCATTTCTGAAAATTGACCTGAAACATCAACTTTCCTGTTCCTCTGATGCTGCCTGGCCCGCTGTGCTCCTCCAGCTCCACACTGTGTTATCTCTAATTTACATATGCTTTCTTTGTCCTGTTCCTCTGCAGCCAAGTGAGCTATTTCGAGCAATTCACATCATTCGGGCCTCTAGGATTCATTTTTCAAGATCTCTGTTTCCTTCTGGTAACAGTGTTTCTGTTCACAGATGGATTTAATTCCACTTAAACAGCTAGCACTTGTAAAGACAGGACTCAGCACACTCCTGCATAAAGAGATCTAATTTATGATGTCATATGGAGGTAACGTGACTGAGATGAACAAGAAAGCCTTTGTGAGCTGAAGAAACTCACTGGAAATCAGTACGAGATGATATTCTCCTGGTTTCTATGGCTGATGGACAAATAACTGACTGAGGAGAAATATAACATCTTCAACAACCTGGTTTGATATCGAACCCAGTTTTGGGAGGTGCACTGCTGAAAACTTTAGACACTGTGAAAATGCAAATCTGACGTTCTAATCCTGAACCTGGCTCTACCAAAGTGGCATAGGTCTCTGAGAGACTGGGTCTACCTCACCATACTGTTCCTGCTCCTCAGGACGTGGCAGCAGGCCAGTTTAAAACCACAACGTCCCCAGAAGTGATCACAGTTGGATTGACAGGTTGTGCATGACCATGAGACACAATTTGATCAGGTCTCAGATCGAAGGTCTATGGAAATGCGTTCCAGTTTATTAAGAAGCAAAACTAAACAGAACCAAAAGCAAATGGATTTCACTGGAACTTAAATAAAGAATGACTAATGTGAAGGTTGATGTTGTGATTGTGTGCTGTCTCTGGGGACCTTCATCTGGCAGAACTCTATTCAAAAAGCGATGAACTGTGTGCTCACACACTCTGTGTACATGTAGTCAGTGACTGTTAAATTAACCCCACAAAGACATATGAAATAATAAGACAAATCACCAAAGCTGCTTCTCAAAGGGTATCAAGCCAGTTGCCTTTTAAAGTTGGCAATAGATTTTAAAGAATGCCTCTCTGACTATCTGCTCCACTGTTGAGACGGGGTTGATTGACAAATCTTTAAGCTTACTCAATTGTTGTGAATTTTGTACTGGAATCCTCTAACCCTACCTTTATTGCTCAAGTTCAGCAGTTTGCTTGTTTCAATATGATCTATATCTTTTACTATTATAAAGATATGTAGCTCGTCCCTATTTTGTGCAAAAGTCAACACAATTAAACATGGACAAAATGGTTTGACTGAATAGAGCAGTTTTATATGTTTACATTGGCAGTCTAATTTTGCACACAGCATTTTCTTAAATATGTCGCTCCAGCTTGGTAACCAAGACACTGCATGAAACCTCTGGATCTTCTGTGATGACAAACGTCAATTTAGTGAGATAATCATTTTGTCATCTAAATAAATGACTTGCATTGGTATACATGGTTAGTAACTCTGCAGATGACATGAAAACTAGGGGGCATAGGTTTAAAATGAGAGGGGAAAGATTTTAAAGAGAACTAAGGGGTAACGTTTTCATGCAGAGGGTGGTGTGTGTATGGAACGAGCTGCCAGAGGAAGTGGTGGAGGCTGATTACAACATTTAATAAGTACATGAATAGGGAGGGCTTTGAAGGGTATGGGACAAATGCTGGCAAATGGGACTAGATTAATGCAGGATTTCTGGTTGGCATGGACGAGTTGGACCGAAGGATTGGTTTCTGTGCTGTATATGTCTATGACTCTATGACTTCCAACATTTTCCTTCTATATTGAATAAGCTCTCATATTGAATAAATAGACCATAAGACCATAAGAGATCAGAACTGGAGTAGGCCATTCGGCCCCTTGAGCCTGCTCCACCATTCAATAGGATCGTGGGTGATCCGACATTCCTCACGTCTACTTTCCTTTGTTTTTTGCACAACCCTTGGTTCTCCTTGATCAAGAATCTAGCTATGTCAGCCTTAATGTACACAAGGACTGCCTCGACAGTTTTCTATGGCAAGCAGTTCAAAGAATCACAACCGTCAGAGAAGAAATTCCTCCTCATCTCGGTGTTAAATTAATGTCCTTCAGTCAAATAGATCTGAAAGCTGTACTCAATGGCACTGAAAGTGAACTAAATGATAGGACACACAGTGCAACCTCAGTATTTGGACTGTGTGGTTCAGTCTACTGAAGATAGACATTGTTTCAGAACCTGTGATTAGCCTGTGTGTGTGATTGTAATACAGCAATCAGGCACATTTATCAAACGAGATACTCACCGTACAAGATTTTCCTTGTAACTGATGTTTATTTTGGATGGTATGAGAGTGAGATTGCCCTCCTCATCCACGAAGCTCTCTTCACTTAGATCATAATAGCCATTTGTTAGCAAGCGAGGGCTGCGACGGCACGTACAGGGGGAGCCACTCAGCGGATTTAGGTACCAAGGTGAACAAGAGTTTTCACTGGTCATCAATGATAACTTTGAGCTGACAAAATACAATCAAGAAAAGAAGCAAGAAGATATTAATAACTGAAAGTTTGCACACGGAACAAACTATCACTTAGAAATAGCGGTGGGGCAAAGTGGATCATTGTAATTGCTCTCACAGTTAGAATGGGCCACAGGGTTCAGCTTGGGAATAATCTGATGAAGTCCATGCAGACAAAATTGACTGTGGCCCAGGTAGAAGATAAGATGCTATTCTTCAAATTCACGTTCTGAGTCACTGTGACACAATACCTTCTCACCTCTCATAGAATCCCTTCAGTGTGGGAAGAGGCCCTTCAGTCCAACGAGTCCACACTGACCCTCAGAGCATCCCATCCAGACCCACCCCCCTAATCTACTCACCCCTGAACACTACACGCAATTTATTTTTGGCCAATCCACCGAGCCTGCACATCTTTGGTCTGTGGGAGGAAACCAGAGCACCCGAAGGAAACCCACGCAGACATGGGGAGAACGTGCAAACTCCACACAGGCAGTTGCCCAAGGGTGAAACCCAACCCGGGTCCCTGGCGCTGCGCGGCAGCAGTGCTAACCACTGAGCCACTGTGCTGCCCTTAAACAGAAACCGTCTCACATTTCAAACCTTATCTAATATCCTCACAACAGTCTTTCCTGCCTGTCTGTTTGAACACAGAAATTGTTGTGTCCTTAAAGACAGAAATTAATATTCCATGTTCTGGTGAGAACTCGTGTCGTTGCAATTGCCAGCCAATCAGATACTTCCGTGGAGATGACTGGGCCTCCTATGTATTCGAGCTCCAGTCAGATGGGATGAGTGGTTATGGATGGGAACTTCCAAGTGGTGGTGTTCCCATGTCGCTGCTGCTCCTGTTCTTTTAGGTGGCAGTGGGCATGTGTTTGGAAGGTACTCTAAGAATCTTTTGCTGAATTTCTGCAGTGCATTTTGTCGATAGAACACATTGCTGCTACTGAGCTTCGGTGGTGGAGGGGCTGAACGTTTGCAGATGAGGAGCCAATCACGTGGGCTGCTTTGTCTTGGATGATATCAAGCTTCTTGCATATAGTAGGAGCTGCACCCATGTAGGCAAGTCAGGTTTATTCCATTACTTCTGACTTATGTTGTAGACATTGGACGGGATTTAGGAAGTCAAGCATCGGAGCTGGCCATTGAATTAAGTGCATTCAGGAGGGGACAATAAATTTTGCCTCCAGTGATTGATCATCTCAATTTATACCAATCCATATAAGCACCAATAAAGCAGTTAATCTCCAGTGAGATGGTACCACAATGTGGCATTTTGGCTGTCTTGTACAAACAGATAAGGCAACTCTATTTTTCCTTTCACCAGGAAGAATGTTCTTATCCAACACGCTGTAGTCCCATTTCTATGAGGTACAATTGTGGTAAAATAACACAAGGTCTCTTTTCTGCCCAAAATATGAAAAAAAACTGGTTAACTAAGCCCATGAACACTGTCGCCATCATACTAACACTAAATATCCAAACTTAATTTTGGGTAGAATTTTAATCCAGGGAAGAAACTTATCTGGCAAATCCAGCCCCCTCAGGCTGATAAATGTTGCATGGAAGTGTCACTGGTGTTCAATTAATGGGAACAGGCTCATTTTGGGGGCCGACACCCAGAGTCTTGGAAAGCAAACAAACCATTCAGCTCCCTCAAAACTATTCCACTATTCACTCCTATCATGGCTGAGAAAGAAAGAGGATGCCTGTAAATATGAAATGTAAACAGAACATTCTCGAAATACATGTTTGGTCAGTCAGCATCTGAAAAATAAAGCAAAACTAATGTTTCAGGTGGAGACGATTAAAACCGAATCAATTTTCTCTGAGATCTGTGTATTCCTAGCACTTTCTGACTTTATTGTAATACAACAGAACGCCAACTGTTCCATGTGCAAAAAAATTCTCATGTTTCAAATTGCCGAACTACAGATATTGTTGACAAATAACGGCATCTCCCCAATAAAACAAGTTATCTTCTGAATTAACTGCATCCCAACCAATGCTATAAAGCATGAAAGCTAAGATATGCATCATAGTGCTTCGAATTACCTCTGGAGAGTCTCTTCAGTAGGCAGCTCTTGTTGAAGATCTGGGAACATCTGTGCAACTGTCACAAAGGACAAATAGTTTGAGACACGGTGAGAAAGCTAAACTGAAAACAACCTTACTGACAATAACCTGACTGCATCCATTTATACAACTCCTGTTTATGTGCAGGGAAACATTGCAAAATAGTAAAACATCAGAGGAACAAATGAGTAGGTGATAATCAGGTAAAGAAAATTGAAAAGCATGTGTGAGCCTAGTGTAAAGAGATACTTTAAAATTTAGAAGTGCAGTCTGTTTTACAATAGAAATCTTTCTGGGGAACAAAAAAAGCTAAAACATTGTCAGTTTGGGAGACCTCCAAGTGGAATGAAGCACAATTCTGACAGTGGCAATATCAACAGCCTCGATGCTCAAGCTCCATCCCTCCCCCAAAGCATTACACTTTGCCATAGCACATAGCTTCTGCTGAAAGAGTAGCAAATACTGAACCAGGTCATTCTCCCCGAGTCAAGACTCTGGTTTTGGCACACATGCTCCTCCACTTTCAAAAGGAGCTGATTGCATGGCTGACTGCCAAAAGCCACTAATGGTGAGGGCAAGGGAAGTAGGGATACATCAGAGGAAGGCAGAGTTGTCAGTGGTTTCAAGGCAGAAGTATAGGGAGAGGGAGAGGAGGTGAGGACTTGGAGGGATTTGAACACTAGAATGAATATTGTAAGTCAGGGACAAGCACAGGGGTGATGGGGGCAACAGGACTTGCCACTATCAAGATATGGGGCAGAAAAGTATTAGAGGTGTTCAAGTTTATGGAGGCAAAGTCTTGAAAACGGCTTGTTAAGAAGTGAACTGGTTGGTTCTGGGGTAACAGATACAGGGATAACGATTTCAACATCAAATAGTCTGAAGCAGGGCCTGATACTGCCAATATTAGTGAAACTTACATACTTTTGCTGTGAAAACTGAATGATGATACAGAGAAAATGCATGATATTTTCGTTAATTGAATACTGAACAAAATGCAGCTATACAGAACAGTGCAATGGATATTTTTTTAACCAAGGAATGAAGTAAACTGATGATTGTCCAGTCTTCAACAGTCAAACACTGGATGAAGTATAGAAGAAGATCATTTAAAATTAAACATACACAAATGATTCAGATGCATATTTAGTAATTCACACTGAAGTATCATACCTTAACAAATTGCTGGGTTACAACATCAAGACTAGGCAATAGCTCTGGAATTTTTGGATTCCTAATACAAAATGGAAACAAGAATTGTTTACAAAAAGAGTTGGCTTTGGCTGGACTTATCAGCTACCATCCTATGAGAATAATTGGCCACATTCTGCATAGAGTCTGCATTTGTTGAAGCATGCACTGCATTTGCCACCTCAGATGCAAATTGGTGCTAATTTTTAAGCATTGCATCAGAAAAGGAAAAATAAGATTAAGAAAAAGACAGCAAGCAGCCACAGAATACAGAATGGCCAACTGTCAGTATGATCTCACAAGCCTGGATCACAAATGCTTCCTGAGCCCTCCCAATTGGGAATGAATCTTGAAGCATTTCCAAAGGATTTCACAGTTTCTATCGTGTTGGTATTAGTACATCAGAAGCAGCTGGGGAGTTTGGGCAGGGAGAAATGTGAGGTAATGCATTTCGGAAGGTCTAATCCAACTGGAAAATATACAGTAAATGGCAGAACCCTTAAGAGTACTGATAGGCAGAGGGATCTGGGTGTACAGGTACATAGGTCACTGAAAGTGGCAACGCAGGTGGAGAAGGTAGTCAACAAGGCATACGGCATGCTTGCCTTCATCAGCCGGGGCACTGAGTTTAAAAATTAGCAGGTAATGTTGCAGTTTTATAGAACCTTAGTTAGGCCGCATTTGGAATATTGTGTTCAATTCCGGTCGCCACACTACCAGAAGGATGTGATGGCTTTGGAGAGGGTACAGAATAGATTTACCAGGATGTTGCCTGGTATGGGGGGCATTAGCTATGAGGAATTGTTGGAGAAACTTGGGCTGTTCTCACTGGAATGACGGAGGTTGAAGGGCAACCTGATAGAGGTCTACAAGATTACGAAGAGCATGGACAGAGTGGGCAGTCAGAAGCTTTTTCCCAGGGTGGAAGAGTCAGTTACCAGGGGCCATAGGTTTAAGGTGCGAGGGGTAAGGTTTAATGGTGATGTATGAGGCAAGTTTTTTTTACACAGAGGGTGGGTGCCTGGAACTTGCTGCTGGGGGAGGTAGTGGAAGCAGATACAATGGTGACTTTTAAAGGACACCTTGACAAATGCATGACTAGGATGGAGTAGAGGGATACAGCCCCCGGAAGGGTAAGGGGTTTTAGTTGTGACGGGCAGCGTGTCGGTGCAGGATTAGAGGGCTGAAGGGCCTGTTCCTGTACTGTAATATTCTTTGTTCTTTGTTCTTGAGAAGGAAGACAATATAGATCAGGTTCTAAAGGAATTGTTTGTTTTGATTTTTGATCAGCACAAAAAGTCCTTAGGACTTTGGACTTTGCCAGTGTAAAATGGTAATATCAAATTCTGCACACCATGTGTACATTTCACTGCCCATTCACAGCCATTGAAGTCAAAAGATAAGTGAGGTATAAAATGGATAGCCAATTTGATACCACCCATTTACTACCAAAGTTATAATTACCTACAATTAGGTAAACATTTGAGTAGCTTTGTCAAGAATTAATGAGGTGATAAGACCATCCACTCTATTTTTGATGTTATTACCACCCTGCTAAGTTCAATATCATCACCATTTTAAAATGGTTACGCTGATTGCTTCAGTCTATGCAGTGAGGGGTGACTGGTCCGTCAGTTCCAGAGGCATCAGTAAAGAAGACACCCATCAAAGTAAAGCCCAGAATTACAGAGGAGCAGCAGTGTCTCTTCAAGGCCCTTAAAAACTATTCTGGATCACTGCCACACCAGGACATCAATCCTCCACGGCTATGACCACAGTCTTCAGTTCCATCTTGGTGGCAGCTCTGTCGCACCTTGCTGTGCCAAAACTAACAGTGTCCTGCACTGAAACACCTCTTTGGCATCCTACAGTCATCCAGCCAAGCAAAAACCTCAATATCGAGGCTGTCACATCAGCAGCCTAACGTCAAAGCCCCTTACTAGAGCAGTACGATAGATCAACCTGAGACAATCCTACATGACTACAGTGGATGGGTCCAGATATGATACACATCTTGTGACAGCCCCAAAGTTAAAGGTGGAGCAGCCTTCTCTGAAGCGTGAGCTGATGGATGCCTTTAAAATTATTTAACAGTTGATAGGGCAAATACAGAGAAGATGTCTCCATTTGCAGGTGGAAACAGCTAAGGACCATAAATATTAAAAAAAATAAATTCAAAAAGGAATAGCTATACCCAAAGAATCATTAGAATGTGGAGCCCGCTGTCAGAGCTAAGGCAATAATTTAGAAACAACTGAAGAGGAAGCTAGAAACTCTTGCTAAAAATGGAAAAGAAGGGCATACCATTGCGTTTGACATTAATGAAAGGGAGGAATCTCATGTGGCGTTTGTCCACTGACATGGATCATTGGGACTGAATGGTCCGGTTTGAGCTGTCAATCCAATGTAGCCCTATGTAAATTTTAAATGTATACATCCTTATTCTTTGCAGACTGGATGACATTCTTGTAATGTTCCAAGTGACTGGCATGCAGCTTTAATAACAGAGTAACTTGAGTCTGATTTTAATCTTGGTCACTAGCTCTTCAGTGATGAACAGCCAGATGCTTTTCAGCACAGGACAACCTCTTTACATTCCCTAATACTTAACATGTTTTTTATTTATAGAGCAACTGCACATTCCCATGAACTGCGCAGAGACAAATCCCCCATGACCTGTTTCCGTTCAGACAACATCTGACACATCGAAAACTGTGCAGACAGCATGAGGTCATTTCAAGTTAACATTCTGTCTTGGCAAGCCCTTACTCTAATATGAAATTGCATCTACAACTTCCTTTACATTATTAAAGTAGTTCTTCGTATTCACTTTAAACCATGCAAGGTGTATTAAAAGTTGGCAGCATCATGAAGGGTTAATTAATCTAGTCCTATTTGCCAGCATTTGGCCCTTCACAAAGCTGCCAACTTCTAATATTCAAATGAGAATTATATCTTCATGAGCCACTCATTTTTCACATTTCATTTTCACAGGGGTGAAACCAATTCTAACAAAAAGAACCACACTTCTCTACGGACAGTGCATCTCCCTCCACCTCCACCTGAAGTCCGCTCCTTTGAATGTTCTCTTCCCAAATGATTTATTAAACACCCATTTGATTGAACCTCCTCCTACAGATTAGCTCATTCAAACAGTTTTTCCTGCTGCTCTCACCAGCTGATCTGTTTAGGAATTGTTGGCACAAAAATGGCTGCTGCCTGCACAAGTGAATACCCTTCCAAACCTTTCTGAAAAGTTTTGAAGCATCAAACAGGCAATTTGTGTAACATTAAAGTCAATTACTATGTGGTGCATGGTTGACTGACAACTGGGGAAATGCACTGGGTCAAACCATAAAGATTGCTGTAAATGCCACAGCTGAAGTATTGCAAATGCGTAGAAGCATCTAAGTGTGGCATAGAAAATACCTATTGCACTTTCTATGATTTGCCCTTGGGCTACATACCAGATGTAGAATTTAATTATGAAATATTATGTATTTATGAAGATGAAGACTGTTTCAATCATACAGATTGAATTTTCATATAAGTCCTACAATATTATAATTGAAATGTTTCTATTAACAAATTTTATGAATACAGCATATTTTTGGTAAAAAATGACTCCTCTGAACAGGATGCTGACATTGACAAAATTATTCGGATTAAATTTTGAACAGGGTGCTCACATCAGAGTTTTATTGCATCAATTACATTAAACACGAACAGGTCAAGTGGCCTCGCTGGTAGGTTACAGTGATCATGCACTTTATGAGCCTTCTGCCCCCCGAACAACAAAAACATCAAATCTCTTCTGTCTCATGCATTCATACCCTTAAATGCTATTTGTTGCACTTTGCATTACCATCTGTTGGTGGTGGACAAGGTAATGGCTATGAAAGAGTTACTGTTGGAGACTGCATCAGGCTTCACCCAATCTGATGATGTCTTATGGCCTTGGCTGGCTAAAAGGCTAGATCTGATAGGATGAAGAATTATAGCTACAGAACTCCAATAATATTAGCAACGTGGGGCAGAATCTTATAGAGGGATGTGACCAACATGGACTACGGTGAGACCAGTGACAGAATTGGGCCACATGATCAGTGGTGCCAATCTCAATGTCAGGAACTACTCATGCCATCTTTTATGTTTTTCATAAACATTGTGGCAAGATTCTCATTAGACAGCAGCAAATTGCTAACTGATGGGGTTTATTGATTATTAAATACATTACTAATGGCCCACATTGCCTTGCTACTATTCAGTCTCCCATTTTACCAATGTTGACAAACAGGCTTGACATTGGGGAAAATGCAACAAGGAAATCAAAGCAGATACGAGGGAGATTCAGAACGCTGCTTGCTCTCATTGGCCTCCATGCTGGGCACTGGGTAACAATATCTCAGGGTACCTTCCATGGGCTCAGGCTACTCGTACCGCACGCCCACTGGTTTCCAACAGCTAGCTTCTGAGAACCCTTGTGGTACATCTTTGACCAACATACCATGTACTTAGAATGAGTGTGAGGTCTCAGAGAGAAGATGGTGGCACTTACCCTGGCAGAGTGGAGAAGGACGCTGAGCTTTTTCCTACAATGCTGGGCATTCGTCCAGACAGCTGAGACTGCGTGGACCTGGTCGGCAACCTCAGCTAAGGTCACCATGATCTGGCATTGTGAGCTCCACCACTGGTTGCGGTGAAAGAGAATGTCCCATGCTTGCACTGTCTCGTCCAGTCGGACCTTCAGGAGGCTGCCCACAAATCTGGGCACAGAGTTCACCCTAATTGCCATGTATGGGCAAATATCAGGAACTGTGCAGGGCTGCTCCAGATTGTCAATGATTGTCCTGGGTGCACCACGGGTTGGCAAAAATGGCACGGGTGGCACTGGATACCATTGGGGGTTTCTCTAGATATCTGCTCAGTGGCGAGTTGTTCTGGAAACGGTGCATGGTAAGATAGGCTCAAAATTGGATACGGAAGATGCTACAGAGCTGTAGAATGGAATTAAATGAGATGAGTTTGGTAAGATATGGTGAT